AGGAAACACCAGCTTTGCCCAAGAGTCTACTGTCTTGATCATTTCGCTCTTTGGAAGCTGTTGTAGAAGCCTACATTAAATAAAAATTTAGAGTTACTGTATTAATTATTGGAAATCTTGCCTTTAAGGTACAACTCTCCTCAATTTATTCCATACAATGACCTGGCTAGGGTTTCCACCATGATCTTTAAGCCCTAAGATCAGTGGAATATCATTAATCCTTTCACTCCCATAAGTGACGAAACCAGAATTTCTCCTTACATCATCAATACAATATCAAGAAGAAAAATGATGAGAATAAAGGAAAATATATCAACTAGGGAATTACAAGTTGATCCAATACCAAATTCTCTGAAACAACATCATAAGAATTATATGGCAAACAGTAATAAGGATTACTAATGAGATCTTGGGAGTGAAAGGGTTAATAAGGAAGAACTTTGCTGATAAAAAACACAAAGGTGATAAGCAACTATTATCTAGATAGTTTAAATGTCACTAATTCTGATCTGTAACTAATTTACAGCATTTAATTGTCAGCTTACAGAGAGTATATGTAATATATTGTACCTCTCTATCACACAAAGAGCTTCATGATCCACAGTTACAGACTGGAGATCCTTTGTGATAACTGATTCCAAAGTAATAAGAATGGATTCCAACTAAATTGAAAACAAACAATACACCAAATGAATAATCTTTCCAATCAGTATCACAGTTATGTAAGAAATCTTAAAGGGTTAATATCTAATCTAAAAGAATTAGAATTCAGTCAATACCTTAGTATTTACAATCCCACTGTGTAAATTCTGTTTAGCAAGACACCACAATGCTCGAGTGCAAACTCCTTTATCCTCAGATTCCTGTATTCTTGTCAAAAGACCTGCCAGAGGATTTCTTGGGTTAATGCTGAGATTCTGATAACACTTAATTCAGTCAAGGCAGTTGAGGCTTATGCAATTTAAGAAAATGTTTAAAACAAGAGTTTAAAGCTATTTCACTTAACAAAATTTTTGCAAGAGGTTGTTTACAATTAATGCCGAGATTCTAATAACAACAAATTTAATCAAGACAAACGAGGCTTAATACAATTTTAGCGAGGCTATTAAAAAATAAATACAGTTGTTTCATCAAATGAATGTTATTAAAGAGGATTTAGTCAGAGGACACTGTCAGGCACTTTTATGTCAAGTGCTTTCCTTTAAACCTGTTTTTTAGCGTCATTGGCACAATTGATCATGGAAGCAATTATGCATATAATAACCTACCTTGAATGAGAACTTGACCATCTGACAAGCAAATTGAACTGCAAAAAGACATTGAAGATAATTTTGATTCATTATGATTATCAGAAACATTACTTCAACTGACTGAGTGAACAAAAATTGGACATGACAAGCTATGGATCAATAACATTTGTGAATGCTAGGTCCAATTAATATGCACGATGAATAAGACTTTGGACTCATCACAAAGACTGGAGGGATGTTAACATCAGATGTAAATTCAGATTGTAAGACCCATGATGTTTCAATGTACCATTTACCACCTTGCACATACCCAGCCATATCTTGGGTGGATGACAAGGGTACAAAGTATACAAAGAAACCCTGGAGAGTAACTCCTTAAGTTTGCCAGCTTTCGTTTTCTTAGATACATGTACAACCCTATGTAAGTATTAGGACTGCACTATAAACAGAAGTTCAAGCACATTCCTAAATGTAAAACTGGTAAGAGGGTCCCCTGTACTTTTGATCTGAAGCGTGATCGGGCAATTTCTTTTCTCAAGAATCATGATTTGACTTTTTCCTTAATTCTTTAATTGTAATTAAAGATGACAATATCTTTTCATCTCCATGAGAACAAATGTTTTTTTTTTAAATTTAAATGTGACCCATGAATAAAGAGCTGGGTTATACCTGATTTGTGGACCATTATGTTTTGTGTGATGAATTTTCCACCATTTTTATGTTTTGGCTATACATGGACTTTATATGGATCAATAAAAGTCATAGAACAGACTACAAATGGTTCTTTAACAAATAAGGTAAGACAGTAAGTTATCTTTCATCACATAGGACTAGTCAAGGCCAGAAAAGGAAAAATTAATTCATGAATTTGTCTTTCTAATTTTTATGTAACGTGGTCATCTCAAATTTTACACAAACATGAAAGAATTCTGGATATTATTTGTGATGGGTGAAAAGGCCAAATATTTTTAAGAGACTGAGTTTCACAAAGGAGTATAGGGGACCCTCTAGTAATACGCAAGATGGCTGTACTCATACCTGGCTATTTCCTCTTGGTAGAGACAGTGACCAAGTGCTTGAAGTGATGCTTGGCACAGATCTGACTTATCAGACTGAATATCTCTCTGTAGAAAATGACACACCAGAAACTGTTGCAATAATGCTTGAAATCTGAACTCATAATAATCATCCTGACATACATAATGACTTTTTCATTTCTAATGTTTGTTTACAATCTTTAATGTCCAAGCTGCTACCTGAGTTATCAAAATAGATTAAAATTAAATGCTCATGCAGAAACTGGCAATGCAACAATTCATATGTTGTGTATAAACAGCATATGGTATTACCCAAGTTATGTGTGTATGCTTCTCCCTTGACACCCTTTCCTGTTGTCAAGAGAAGAAACATTGTATGAAGAAAACAGCAAAAGACAAGGTCTACTTACCCGAAAGATCATGACAACTCTTTTAATTAGATTAAGTAGCTCTTTGACAAATACATCTTCCTCCTCTCTTAAGCGCCTGGAAGGAAATTTCATGACAATTACTGTTTAAATCTTGTTGCCTTTGTGAATGTAGACGAAGAGAACCGAGTTCTTACATGAATCATTCTAAACATCACTTTCATTTCCTCATAAAACTTGTATGTAGATTATTGACCTGTGAACAAGGAATTTCTTAAAACGCCACAATAGAGAAACACCCTTGAGACTGACTCTTTGTAATAAATATGGGTCTAAAGTGTTAAGCTTCAAACGTTAACACACTCTTTATTTCGATCCTATTTGATTTTGATGGCAAAGTGAAGATGGTCGCCAATCGGAAATAAATTTCCAACAGCTAATACTAACAGTTTGAATTTAATACGTAAACATACTTCGTGACTTACTCTGTCATTCTTAGATAAGCATCGACTTGATCATCACTCGCCGCCATGTTGTCTTCGAGAATGCGAAGAAGAGGTTCGAAAAGCCCTTCGCATTCCGGTATAGTTACCATCTTTTTTCCCTCTAGAGATGTTCCTTGAAATATCAAATCTATAGATTCTGCAGCAAAAGCAATAGCAAGGTCACAAAAAGCCAGGCTTGATCGCAAACGTACCTAAGTTGAGATCATCAGTGAAATTGCAAGCGTCCATGTTCGACGCGTGTACTGCAACGACCTCAGCTTATTTGCAATCGCAAATTGCTTACTTGCGATCTCATGCTAACAAAAAATCCAAGTGTCGATCTTCGTACCGTATCAATAAGTTTCCTAAATAAGATTTCACTCGGAGAAAAAATCATCAAAGGCTTCTAATAACTCGTAGTCTTTATCGCTCAGAGGTATCAGATCGATTCTGCCGCGAAGGTTTCTCTGCAAATCGCGCCAAAGTTATGATTCACCCCTCTGATTGGCTCCTAGTTCTCAACCAGAGCTTCTCGGCAAGAACCATTACATAGAGTCCTGGACCCCATATTAAAATATTAAATGATCACAGGGGCTTCTCAGCGGTCAATTGAACGTCTGCGGATGTGCGCGCAGCGGAATGGTGTGTCTGGTGTGCCTTTTTAAAGGGTAGGTTGACTTAAAAGGAGTTGTACAAATCACAGAAGCCAGTTAGTCACTGGTTTTAAAAAACCCATAGCTTTCTCAGTGTAGCTCAAAGCAAAATGGTAAATAAACAGGCTACCGTTGTAAGTGCGTCTTGTCTTGGAAAAGTACCACGATTACCTCTTCTCTACTTTTGCTTCCTTTTAAAATTTCTAAGAATTTTTTTTGTGTGGGAAAGTGGTTATTTCTTGTAATTGGCTTTGCGCGGGGAATCGGTGCGCAGCCAGCCAAAATTGATACCTCAGTGCATTTTGATCGGGACACGCGATCAAACTCGTGAATATATCTTGTGTTCACCGTTTTCCGAGTTTTGCGGTAAGAGTAACGAAGGTTTCCCTACACACATGCATGCACATACATTAATCCAAATGATTGGGGAAAATATACGTCAACCAAAAGGCTAATTAATATTGCAGCCCAACTCTACACTAATAAACAGTCAAACAATAAGTCATGTCATAACCTTAACATATATAATATGTGATTTATTTCAACTCCTGAATTAACTTAACAAATCCAAGGTTGAGTTACTTTTGCTTAACATAAAAAATCTTCGAAAAAATCGAAGGAAATACTAGATTAATAGTTTGCGATCACGCAAAGCAGACTACATATTGGAAAAGATAGTAATCACTAAGACGAGACAAGGAAAGTACAGATTTTAGAGCAGTTTTCAATTGATAATCAAAAGTGACCCTGGACTGGGGGATTGCTTCGGTTCTGCTTTACCCCGGTAAGTGATTGGTCTAAAAAATGCGTGCTACTGTCTCAAGCAATCAAATGCAAAACTGAAACGGATCCCAACTTTGGGTTACCCGCGTCTTATAGCCGAGTAGGTCACCTGTTTTTACTTTGAGTTCTCATTGGTTAATGATAATGTTAACCTCTGTTCTGATTGGTTGTTGTAACTACTTTGGTCTTCACTTTTCGACACTCAATTGAAAACTTACGTATGATCTTCACAGGGCGGACAAAGATTACATAGGAGGAACCAGTTAAACTTTCTTCCAACTGTAGATGTCTAGGATGCAATAAATATGTCCAAGTTATTTAAATGAACGGCTAAAAGTCGTCAGCTGGTGTCTCTTCTTTGACCGTTCAAAAACTCAGCTTAGTGCGAACATTGCTTAAGAACGAAAGCAAACAAACGAGAAAGTATAATGATTTAAATATGATAGCTTAGAAAAGACATTTCATTGTTGTGCCAGCATTCAAAATTCCTGAGTAAAACCCTTAACTGTCATCTTCGTTTGTATTTCTTCTGGATAACTCAGCACTTCAACTTCTAGGACCCACTAAGTATTTTGCAATTTCTCTCTTGAATAATTAAAGAATTTGAACATATATAAAGTTAACATCTTCTACAGAAACCTGCTTATTTTGACACTTCAGAGATTGTAGGGATTAAGTTCATCTATAATAACAAAATAACCAAACAAGTTAAGCTTTCACTTTGCACTACTGCACAGTTGGTATCTCTACTTCTCCGAAGAGACGTTTTTCTACCAATTAATTTTAACTTTTAAGTAATAACATGTCTTTCGAAAAATAGACACTGATGATGACTGATTGCTAAAATAACCAAACTCTTTCAATTTTTTTCGTTTCCATGCTCAATATTTTATATTTTTGAAGTGAAATTTTGGTAACCTATGTTATCGTAGCTTGTAGTAATTATAGCTCGGATTAGTATATACTAAGACAGTGGATAGCAACGAAGGTCCATTCCTCTAAAAAAAAATTGGGTAAATCTGCAATTCACAAGCTTAAACTAGTTGCATTTATCATTTAAGGCTGTAAAATCAATAGTTGCCTAACTGTGTGTTTATTTGTGCCCTTTTTTTATGTACAGCATACAATGCAAGTGATATTTCAATACATAATACTGTCCAGCAGAAAATTCTAGTGCTTCAAGAAAACATGTTCATTTACTTCCCATCATGGAATTGTAATGTATAGGCCCATGCAGTGTGCAGTGGAGGAGGGGGGCACTTCAAAACAGGGGAATATCAGAGGAGAAAAATAAGGTACATATGGCTTCACTCTTTGTCAAGAAATTACCCTTTAACTCCAAAGATCCAATTGATAATTCTTCCTTCTAGCTGTTACACATTTCCTTGCAAACAAGTCATGAGAATTTGGTTTTCTTCCTTCAAGCTGTCACACATTTCCTTGCAAACGAGTTACAAGAATTTCCTTTTAGATCAAGATAACTTCAACCTGATAAGTTTGAATATTCTCATTATCTGTTTGCTGTCCTTTTTGAGACTGAAAGAGCTCTGCGGTAATTCACTATAATATCAAGTGAATAGTGCCTTTCAGAGGTGATTAGCCAAATACTAAAGAGCAACCAAAGAGCAACACACCGCTTTCTGCTTTGCTCCTGATAATTAAGTGGTAAATACACCAATCAGTAAATGAGCCAGCTGTGGTATAAAAAAAGTGTATCAACGAAGTTTGGTTTGATATGTTTGAGGTGCTAAAATAACAAGTTTTGTGGCTGAAAAAAAAAAAACTAATATTAGAAACAAAAAAACAATGAAATTGGCTTTATTTCCCCAACTTGCGTTAAGAAAGGCCCCTCTCCTCCTTGCCTAACATTTCAATGAAAACTTTTGATGGATAACTACTATAAATGTGTTTTTCACTGGGATAATACACACTGTATTTTACACAAACACGTTTACAGTTCCAGATAATTGCTAGAGATACACCATGCTCCCACCACCCTCCACTTTTTTTAAACTCATTTTATGATCATTTTTTTCAGCTGGGTTAAAAAAAGGAAGTTTTTGTCTTATCTTTGCCATGTAATAGCTATACTTTCTTGTCACTTTGGTTCTGACTGCGACAAATGTATTGTCAGAAGACCAACTTCATGTATTTTGGGCATCAGTTTACCTTTTTCACAGAGGTACCAGTCATATCTGAAGCTGTTCGAGGTCATTCAAAAAATTTACAAAAATGTTTGGAAGAGTTGTGACACAACCTTACCTTCAGAAGTCTCCCTTCTAATATGACATCTTCTAGGAAGAGCAACATCAATTAACAAGGATTTCTCTCCTCTTTGACTGGCTACAGCCTTTATGATAAACTTCATTCATATTTACGAATGAATCAGCCAAGGCTGTGAAAAATGCAAGTTTTCTGGTTTTCATCACGTGTGAGCAATTATTGGTCAGCAGACTTAAGGTAGCATGAGATTACATTTCTGGTCTACAAGCCCGAGATTCACACTTGAGACAAAAGAGTTTGCAAATAAACATTGAACTATGCACAAAATTTTTTTTAGAAGAAGTTGTATATTTGTCCACATGGCAGTCAGGTGTAAGTAAAATTAAAGAAAAGGCATACAAGCTGTAACCTGGATATCATTTGTTGGTAACAGCTCTTTGAACTTCAGTCTGTAAAGCCATCACACCCATGCTTCAGAATTATTTCTAGAAGCACCATCACTTGATGATGTCTGACCTCTCTCAGTGTCTTCCACAGCTGAGCTGTTTGAAGACTGCTGTGGACGTGCTCTCTGCAATAAAGCCACATCGACTCCTCGGACAACATTGTTGTTTTCAGTTGTGTAGCATTCAACTACCACATTTTGATTCAGTGCTGCCCATCGTTTGGAATATTGTTTAAAATGCTTCAAACTATCAAAGTACAAGCCACCAACAGCTAGAGCAATGAATAAGCCATTCACCATATAAGCAAACTTTACTTCTTCTGTTGTACGTTCAGCAATTGCAGATGGAGTAGTGCTGACACGAGACCAGATGATCCATGTGACAGAAGTCAAAAGCATTGTTGCAAATGCAATGAAAAGTCCTATGTGTAGCCATCCCTTTGTACTTACTTCAGGAAAAGACCACTGCAGAAAGAGGAGTGGAAAAAAATTGAATATATGAACAAAACTTTTAGATTTTTAAATAATTCTAAGGCTGCTAGAACCATCATAATTTTAAATTCCCTGACGATTCATGAATGATGGTAGCCATAATCTATAAAACTCTTTACAACAACTTGTAGATTACAACTTACGTCATTGACAAACTGGCCTGCAAGGATCATGCCATTATGTTAATAGGATCTTCACTAAATAAATTTAAGTTTTACTTGTTAATTGTTACTCTGTTATTCTACTTGTTGTACACCTCAAAAACATGTTGGGGTGTTATCCAACCATGCCATGCCTTAGTAAGTGTCAAAAGATACAGTATGTCCTTGGCCTACCCCTACCCCTCCCCCTGACAAAACTAACACCCCGTTCACACCAGCAAAACATGTTTTGTTAAACTCGTTTTCATTGAATGAAAATTATAAACAGAGAACTGAAAAACTTGATTTTCCATTGGATTCAAGTACTTGCTAACTTGCATTTCCAATGTGCTACATTCAAGTCAAAAATATTCGGTTAAATAGTTTCTATGAAGAAAAAAAAAATTAAACTGTGTTTAACAAAACAACTTTTAAACATGTTTAAGCTTTGGTGTGAATGGGGCATAAGATTATCATAGGGGATATTAGGACACTTGGTTTCATTCTGATACTAACAATGATTCATTCAGTCTGTTCATCTGGGGTGATAGTGGTGCTAAAAATGACAGTTCATAATGACTAACATTTCAAAAAGCCTCCCAATACATCCATGAAAGTTATTCTTACTATATGCTAAACATTCCTCACAAGTTCATTCTGAGAATTTGGTGGTGGATCAAATGGTAATTCCATTCAAAAGTTTGAGAGTAATAAACAAAGAAAAGTTTACTGTACCCTCCAAAAGCACTTCACACTTTCCTTCCTAGTCTTGAATTTAAACTTGCATAGCTCACAACTCTGATGTCCAGATTTTGAAACCCAGTTCAGTATACAACTCTGATGAGCATACTTTACAGTTCCAGTGCATTTGCATGGTCGTATGAGCTCTTCATCCTCACTGCCACCATGACAAATGCGGCACATTAAACCACAGCTCTCCCGTAAATCTGTAAGTTTGCTGAGTGATGAAGAAATGCTAGGATCCCTAACACTTTTCTTAAAAGGCTTAATTGTAACTCCAACACTTTCCAACACTGACACAGAACTACACTTTCGCACTATTTTGAAGTTCTGGTTTTTATCCCTTGGCAACAACTGAGACTCCTCATTTGCACTGTTTGAACAGATTGAAGTCAACAGTTGCAAGCTTTGTGACTTGAATTTCATTTCACCCATTCGATCATCAAAGCTGTTCTCCTGAATCACTGGCCCCTGTTGTGAGCAGAAAAAGTAGAAATCTGTTGAACCTGGACCATTTCCTTTGTCCACCAAATAGTGTGGCTGGCAGGTATAACTTGGAGTTTGCTCACAACCATTGTAAGATTCCTTTACTTCTGGTACTTCTGATACATCACACTCTGAGTCTGCTGACAGCAAAAGTGGCTCACTTGCCATACCAAGCTTTTTGCTGGAAAAGGAATTTGGCTGACTAACTTTACTGCCAGTAGTGTTGTCCTTCTTGTTCAAACTTGGCAAACTTTTGGAGAACAGCTAAAAATACAATTTAAACAAAATTATTCATAAGAGACTACACAGAATTTTCAAACAACCAGATAAATATATATATACAATATTTACTTGTGTATAAGTCAACCTTTTATGACCAAAAACTCAGCCCAAAAAAACACCCTTGACTTATACATGAGCCATACACACAGACCTGACCCAAGTAATTCAAGAAATTAGCATAACAATTGCATCAAGTCCATTTGGAAAACTGAGGTTACAAAACCAGTTCCACCTATGTTCAAGTATGGTCAGTTTTCAGTGCATTCTTCATCAACTAAAAAAGTTTTAAATAATAAATTTCAAGTGGCTTAAATGCAAAGCTATTGGAGCTGATTTCAATTGTGTGTTCTGATCTGTAAAGCAAACATTTTTTCTTACAGCTTCAATGCTATTTACAGTGCTGAACTTTCATTTTCATCGAAGGATTTCAGTAGCTGAGTGACCTGGCTAATGCTGAGCTCTCATGTGGTCTTATTTGTTATGCGTGATCCTTTGAAGCTCTTTGGTGTTCCTTTGGTCTACTCAATCTCCTTTCAAACTCAACATTAAGATAAAGGTTAGTTAAATGTAAGAAGAGATCATTTTCAATGAAATTTACAAAATTTGGTTAAATACTTCTTTTAGCAAATCGAAGTGCTCGTATATGCTTAAATCATGGTGATATAAATACAAGTGCTAATAAATTTGCAGCACACAGTTACAGTTTGCTCTCCAGTTTTTAATTTTTTAATTCCTCATGTTTTCAATACATTCTCAGAAATAAGAAATTAACTTTTTGGGGAATTTCTATTGGTCTGAATTTTACCTCAGTCTTTAACTAGAAATGATGAAAAATCCAATTTTTGACCTTGAACCAACATGCAACAAAATAATGTCTCCCATCTGGAACTTGTTTTCAAGTATGGGACTCATCCATAGTTAGTAATGATAAGAATGCAAATTGCTCAGTCAAGTTATTGGGCAACTGTGTCTCCATTTCATTGACTGGGCCTGAGTTGAATATACTTTGGTGAATGAAAAGGTAGCAAAGGGGGATCCTGATACTGTTTCACACACTTATTTTAAAAAAAATTACTGTGTCATGTATATAGAAGGGAAAAGTTCAAATCTCTCTTCTTGTGTGTTAAAAGTTTCAGAGAAATCTTGAGGATTCATTAAAAGAAAAACAATTTACAGGTTATGAGTAATGCACGAGGCAAATCACATCTCATGCTTGCTCGTACATGTAAATTAAAAAATCATACTTGCCTTTCAGTAAAATTAATACTTCACAACACAATTTTGGCCCAGATCACATGTCATAAATACACTCTTTGCCACTTTTGAATAAACTTCAGTGACTCAATTTATACTAGTATGTTTTTCCAACTCAAATATGATTTCCAATTGGGGAAACATGTCACATGCCATGAGTCACAACTCATGAACTTTTGACTTGCATGTGATCAGCTTGTCTACCTAAAACAACATCACATTGTGTGCTAAATGGCATTAAGGAAATAATATTTTAGAAGGAGTGGCCATTTTTTAAGTTGGGAGGGATATCAACACACCTCAGGAAGGACTCTATGGGAAACAGTGAGTTCTTGTTTCCCTGAGACACTAAGTGTCCCCCAAGGCAAACCTAGAGGAAAATTGAGGATCTGGAGGAAACAAAATTCACTGTTTCCTTTGGGGTCAGTCATCAAGAGCTAGATATGACACAGTTTAGAATAAGATATGCATCATGTGAGGTATATTGTTGATATGACATCTGAAATGAGTCTAAATCAGGCTATGATTGTTATTTTTGTCTAAAAGTGTTTATTGACAATTTGGATGGAAATCAATGACCCAAAGCAATTCTTCAATATCCTGCTGGTCTCTGAGTGACAGTGCAGTACATTAGTTTACCCAATTTTATTATTTTCACTTTCGAAATGTGATATGCAAATTCAATTTGGTTACACAAGAGTAAGCAACTCATTTTCCTCCAAAAGGTCAACAATAATGATCTTAATGTAGAAACTACATAATCTGTACTAAAATAAAATTCATAGCGAAAGGAATACCAAAAATACAAACTGAATGTGGTTTAAAATAAATGAAATTAGAACCAAGAAGAAAATTTATATCACAGTCACAATGTGTGTATTTAACATTTTCCTTTGTGTTTCTCCACAAATAAAAGCATGGTTTTGTACCCTAGATGAATAAATTTCAAGTGACTTAAGTGGGTAAAAATGCACAGATTAGACCCTATAGCCATTTGAGACACTCCTTTGAAATAAACGTCACCTACCATTTTAACTGCTTGGTGTTCCGACTTAAAAGGAAAAAGTCTGCAGCTTTCGACAACTTTGAGTTTACTGTCAAAACATTATTTCAGATGGTTCCTTTTTTCCCACCATGCTTGAACGATTTAATTCCGACCTCATTCGAAAACAGAAGTTTGATAAACATCCCCTACACCTGATTGGATTCAGCAAGGGACTTTTCCCTTTACAAGAAGCGAAACTAATTATTATGAAGCGAGTCAAAGTTTCTAGATTCTTTACCACAAAAATATTTCCTTAAAATCTTAATGAATAAGGAAGGCGCACTGGAAACTTATGAGCATGATAAATACAGCAAAATAAATGAGACATGAAATATAAACATGACTATATATTGTGTTCGCATGATTAAGCATAAAACAAAAGAGAAACAGCAAATTGCAGCGAACTGGTTTGAAAGAACCACTGGCGATGTGCTCAGGCAAACGTCTCTGGCATTTCCGCCGTCTTAGATAAAATAATCGTTTCAAACTTACAGACTTTGAATCCATTGTTACCGATGTCAGCATAAAATGTGAACAAGCTTGTACCCTGTTGCTGTCAAATTCCACACAAAGGCGATTTGTACACAGCAAGCAAGTCCTGTGCTATTGTTGTGAAACGTAGTTCAAATGGTCTTTAGTATTCCTTCAAAAGAACAGAAAGGAAATTTCAACAGTCAAATTATGAATTATGGAGAGAGTTCGAAATTTATGAGCGCTCACACGCAGCTGCCAACCATCCGTATGCACATTTAAGAGCATATTTCATTACAAACCCAACACAATGGTCGTTAAGTTCAGTGAGTAAACTCACTTAAACACCATTCTAAAGAAATGAGTCTAGTTGTAATACGCATATTTAAACCCCTGCTACTCACCATTTGTGTTAGACTTGAGGGCGAAAGCATAGCGAGTAATTACGGCGGCCAAAGCCGCACATTTAAGCACAAAGGCTAAACATGGCGGTCAAATATTTTGAAAAGCAATCGCCTTTCACGGGGTTCTCATGTGAAAGCGTTCACAGATATCACATGAAATCCCCGTGGATTTTGTTCTTTTAATTGAAAAACGAAAATTAAGTTGTACCTTACCCTTCTTTACTTCGGTCAGTCTCAAAATCTCGAGCGAATCTCACATTCTCGGCTGTAATGTGATCACGCATTCGATAATGGACCGAAACTGAGTACGTATTTTCGAGAAAAAAACAATCTCGCCCGCTCAGTCGCTGCAGGCCCCCCCACCTCCCCCACTAATTCATATATTTGTCAACTTACATGTCACGCAACAATTGTGAACTGCTAACTCAGGCGGAGAGGACGAAGAGCGCTTCATAACACAGCAGGGTCAATAAAGGCTCAGCACTGACATTCAGTACCACAACCGCGCCCCAAAAGATAAAAGGATAGCCCCTTCATATCTGTCTGCGTTTTAAGAAATATTCGTCGGACTGGAGAAATAAACACTCAGTAAAAAGCAGGAGCAAAAGCCTATCATCGACTTTGAAGGAAAAGGATTGGCTATTATAGTGATGAATTATGCAAGACTTGCGTGATTTTATGTGACGCTGTCTCAGATAGTTCGATTATAACATAGTAGCAAATTTCTTTGAAGTGTGTTATTCGTGTATTTCACCGCGACTGTCATTTCCTTAGAGCACTCATAGTGAATTTTTACAAAATAAGTGTCGTAAGTGACAGATCTAACCTATCAGGTTACAATACTATTTAAATGCGGGTTGAAAAACAAATGTTTGTTATCTCACGTCTTCATTTTCGAATATCGATCTGGAAAAAATTAAAAAGTTAACTTGCGGATTATTTTCTTATTTCAACTTGGGAGAGCGTACCTTTCGTTTGCGTGTTTTCCATGTTTTAAAAGCACCTGCTGTCATTTTCGCCATTAACTCTAAATCCAGGAAACATCGAAATAGTATAATTTTACGTATTCTATTTGCGATTATTTTTTAATGTGGTGTAAAAACGCCCAAACAGCTCATTATATTTTTAAAAGCCGTGTAGACGGGAAGTTGGAAAACGCGACATCATTGGGCAATTGATTATTTCACAAAGGTAGGGAGATCGAAACAACTTAAACGGGTCAAATTTCAGATGACAGTTAAAATTAAAATAGTAAACTTTAGGCTATATCCTGGTGTACCGGTTAACCAAAATATGTCCTGGTGTGCCGGTTAACGAAACTTGCGTGACATCGGTCAATCGAATGATAGTGTGACAGCTAGATAATTTGATAAGTAATGAATGCTTTGATAATAAAATGCAATAAAATGCAGGCATTGGTTCATTTTTGGGTTATTTGGGTTATTTGATATGTTTGGATCTTTTGAATCAGTTAGGTCATTCGGGCCAGTTGGGTCATTTGGGTCACTTAGTTCACTTGGGCTTGTTCACTTGGGCCAGTTGGGTCACTTAGGCCAGTTGCGTCATTTGAACCAGTTGGGTCATCAGTTATCCATAAACCAGGTGAATTTTAATCGCCGATTTCCCGCCACAATCACTAAAAGACAAATGCTGACCTTGGCGCCTGTTAGTTCATTCTGGCTTTTCCCGCCATCAAAGAAGCTGCTCACAAAAGTTACATAGTTAGTTTTTCGATATTCGGTATATCATGGACAGTCAGTATTACTTTTGTTTGTAAAACCTTTAATTACGGACGATGGCAGGTTTAAAACGCTAAGGAGCGAGTCTATGGGGCCGTGTTTTATGTGGCTGGCTATTTTCTTCGTGGAACCAATAAAATAGAGAGGTGACAATAGGCTCAGACAAGCGAATATGAACAGTTTATATTATTTTATCGCAGAAGATTACGGGGAACGGTACTGATAAAAAACCGCAACGATTGGAGTATTGTAGAGGATATATTCCCTTGATGTGCAATAGGATTCCAGAAAACGTTATCTAACTGTCCTCATCGAAATACTTGATACCCTAACTCCATGGAGTGACCGAGACAGAATTTCTCCTTACAATATCAATACGATATCAAGCAGACGAGTGATGAGAATAAAGGGAAAATATCATTTGGGAGTTAATCAGCTGATCCAACACCAAATTCTCTGAACTAACATCATAAGAGTTGTATGGTAGACAGTAGAGAGAATCACGGCTAAAGAAATCTTGGGAGAAAAAATGTTAACACTGAGGCGACATGAATGAACGCAGTTCAATGAGGTTTTAGCACAAGTAGTTTTAGGTTGTTTTGTTTCATATAAAAGTGGTTTACTTCTAAAAAAAAAGGGTATAGAAATCTGAAAAATGGGCAAGGGTGTTATGAGCATCCCTCACAGAATCACTCGAATTTCCGAGAACTTTACAACTTCTTGATTGGTTTCAGTTCGATTGCACGCTATTAGGTCAGTATCTCTTTCAGCCTGAACACCAGCACGTACGTTCAATTACAGACGTCACATTGAAACTCGTTGTCTTTTCAATGCAGTCTCTAGTACTTCTACATACTCAATAACTATTCAAAAGAAAGCTGATTATCGACGCTCTCTCCAGCTCCACTAGGCCTGCATACTTTTTTGATAACTGGGAAAAAACGAGCATTACAATTTTTGCACTCTTTTTTAATGAAAGTTGCACTACTAGCATAATCAGCATATATCAAGTGTTTTTGTTGGAAACTTTACCAAAGTTAAAAAATTTTCAAGTTCGGTCGACAGTTCAGTCTATTTTCAATTCAGCATTGTCTTGGGAAAAGAAGAAGGTTACCGAAATACTGTGTCATTCGTCGTATAGAGGACTGGAAACACCATAAGTACAGAATGCGTTGGTTCCAGTTCCCGCTTTCACAAGAAAAAAATGGCAGTAGCTGGTTCTGTTTTTCATAACAAGTATCTCACTCAAAATAAAGAAGAAGAGTGTCATGCTCTATTAATTAACAGTAAATATCTAACTTAGACTGATTTTTTTTTTTTTTTTTTTTTTTTTAAAAAACCACACCATAGGAGAAAAATAGCATAATTTCCAAAACGAGCATAATTTTGAGCATGATTTGAAAAAAATCAAGCATAGCTGGTGACATGATAGGGCTTACAGGCAACAGCCAACAGAGCCTGCCTCGCCCCCAAGTAGCTAAGGAGTACGGTCAGCGGATAGCGCCATGTGAAAATGCCGGCGCATGTATTCTGTTACTTTTGATCCGGGAGATTCCACCAACAGGCGACTATGGCGGAAAAGTGGTGCTACGAAGCGAAAAATATTTGCCTTGCCTTGTGAATTTATTTAAGGAGTGTTGAACTAAGCAAAGCAGATAATTAGGATTTCCCTGCCGGGCTCCTTCGTAGAAAAACTACAAAACGAGCGGACTTAATGTGTACAATTTGTGGAAACAGATGTAAGTTCTAGTGTTCAATCCAGACTAGCTGATTGCTTAAAAGTTGCCGAGGAAGGTGTGTGTTTGTGTGACTTCATCGTTCAAAATGAGCTCAGCACACGGTGGCAGAAGGAGACCGCTTACAAGGACAACTTCTTCTTCAGAAGACCAGGCCTTAAATCAAATTGCTCGTGAGGTAAGGGATAATTTGTTCTTAATCTTTTCAACGTGAATTTTGATTCGTGTCGGGAGACTCACTTACTGGACCAGAAATTTTAATGCTGACGAAGAACTTATGATTTTTCGCATACTGCCGAGTAATTGAACGCTTTTGTTATGGCTGTTTGGTTCGTTACGGATAAGTTTTCAAGATTCAGTCTTTCCTGAATTTCTTGGCGTTTCAGTTCACTCGACGTACATTTCGTGTACATGAATGATGTCAATTTCTAGTGACAGTTTTACATTAGTGGAGCAAGTCACGATTTTCCGGTGGCTGTGGCACTCACTGTTGAACACATCCTAAAAATAGTTTCGAGTCGAAAGTTTATTCTTTTCATTTCAGTTTTGCTTCTTTGTCTTCGCTAGCGTCGGGTAGTTCCCGAGTTTCATAGCTTTCGATAACCTAGCGTTTATCTCTTGCCTGTGGCGCCGGGGCGTGTTGGTGTTGTTTATTATTTACGATTGCTACCACTTTGACTTTTTACGGTGGGCGGCCACCCAAACCATTTCCTGTGTAGATTCAGTACGTTCCAACTATTCATGGTTTACGTTCAGCTGCTTTTTGAATCAAGTAACTTTTTAATCGCTAAAGGTGTTCATTTACCGTTAGTCTTTCATTAGATTTTAACCGTTCTACAAGTGATAAAAATCGTCGCACTTCAGTTTACTCCGGTTTTGAAATGACAATCAAAGTCACTGATATTGGAATTAAAACCATTCTGTCGATGGAGCAGTTAACTCTTCAAATTGCTTGTATTTGGTGATGAATTTGTAGGTTTAGCAAGTTACACTTTCAATTTGAAGCACACAGAATTGTTAATAGACATGTAGACGAATGCATCCTTTTGAAACCAGAATAACATGTGTGTGAATGTTTATCTCATGTAAACACAATGCTTTTAAATATATTTTTCTTCATGACAAAAGATAAATGGCAGTGATTAAAGAAAAAATGAGATAGAAGTCCTTTTAAACCCCTAGTTTAGTCACTTTGCTTGTTGTCAATAGCATTCTTGAAACATTTCCTTTGGTACTGACAGAGAATTTGCCTTGCAATTGAGAACTTCTCTATTTTGATCATTTCCTTCATTCTGATGACTTAAGCATTGATACTGTAAAGAGAGATTAGATTCCTGTCACTCTTAGGGGTTGAATGTTTAAGCTGATGTTGTTCTCCTGAAAGTTGACATTATTAGTGCAGTGATGAGAGGGTTCACTTCCCAGCAGTTTGGCCCAGGTTTGGTTCAATAACCCACTGTCATGCAGGATTTTCTTGAGGGTAGAAGGCAAATAAGTAATAGTTGGTGGCCAGGTTATCATGAACACCAGGCTGTTTTGTCAGATTATGCAGAAGTTGAAATGTCAGTTTAAATGTGACCGTGAAAGGCAAAACGGTCAGATGACAAATGGTTTACTAACAGTCCTTGAAGTGTTCAAACGGTTTGCCTAACCATTCGAATGGGTGAATAAATTATTTGAACAGTTTAGTCAGCCATTCAAATGGATGAGTATGAACGGACAGGCAAACCATTTGAATGGTTGAATAAAAGATTTGAATGGTTTGCTCAGCCATTTGAATAGATGAGTAAAAGTTTTGAACAGACAGACAAACCGTTGGAATGGGTGAATGAATTATTTGAAGAGTTTGATTAACCATTCAAATGGTTTGCTTTGCCATTTGAATGGATCAATAAAACGGATAATGTCGAATGAACTAGCAAGCCATTCAAACAGATGAAAATATTATTAATCTGTATGATTGGTGGTACAATTGGTTCACCAATCATATAGATTAATAAATTGCTTACAGGATTTGCAAAACCATTCCAAGTGCATGGCTTGATCATGGAACGGGCAATGTTGCTGTGTATTGTTTTCATTTAATTTGTCGTTGTTGTCAATTTCAAGGCCTTTATTCTCACAATCAAAAATGGAGATTTTCAATTTCTCATCAAAAAAATGTTATCAAAAAAATCAATGCTCTGCTGATAGACCATAAACTGTGGGCCACTATGTACTTGATTTCATTAACTGAAATTACTGAGATATGAATGCCATACAAATGAGGAAAGTAAAACCAAAACTTGAACGTGTTTTAAAGTTGTTTTGTTAAACAAAGTGTATTTTTTTTCTTTGCAGAAACTACTTAACCTTATATTTTTTACATATATTTAGGGCATCGGAAATGCAAGTTAGCAAGTACTTGAATCCTTTGGAAAATTAAGTTTTTCAGTTCTCCATTTATGATTTTCATTCAAGTAAAAACAAATTTAACAAAACATGTTTTGGTGGTGTGAATAGGGTATAAGTCATGGCTAGAACTGCTTTTGATGTTGCATGATATTGACCTCACAATAAAAAAAAAATAGTAATGAAGTTAATTTGCCTGGACAGTCAATAATTTGCTAACCTGTTAGATATTAATCTTGCCTTTAATAGCACGCCAAATTTTCTCTTTTCTTCTGACGACTCCACTGAAAACTTTGCAAATACTAATGCTTTTAAACATTTCAGTTTGTTCCTATCCAATCACTGTTTTCCATGGGTTCCATCTGTGTTACTGGTACCCAGCTCTTGTTTTGTGGAAAAGAACTGCAGAAGTTTGAGGGTGCAAAGGTGCCTTTGTTCCTCCACTTTCAACATTGCTCTACTTCCTTCACTTTGCTTGGTGAATAGTTCTCACCGTTTTTCTCTGCCAATTAGAGCAATTTCCTTATTCAGTGAAAATTTTCATGACTTAGAAATGACTCTTTTGCAAGTGCTTGCCTATTTAGTTCCTAACATTTTTAGTTATTGTCTGAAACTGTTTGTCGTCATGGTTTAAAATGATAGCTGAGTTTATTGTTTGTCTCACAGCTTAGTCACATAGATGTGGATCGCGACATTTCAACCACTATGCTGAGTATCTGTAGAGAAATGAGTGAAATATTCTCCTTTTGTGCAGATGAACAGAACAGACATCAAACTGTTGAACGGATGCTGCAGTTCTCTGAACGGACACCTCTAAGTGGTGAACAGTTGCAAAAACTATTTGAATGGATGCTAATGTATTTCAAACAGATATGCAAACTGTTTGAATGGTTTGTCGAACGCTTTGAACAGATTTTTTTTAGGCATTTGAACAGAAAACGAATAGATAAAGAACAGTTTACCCATTCAAACAGATAACTGTTGATGTCCATTTTACCTTTCTTGGTCACAAATGTGTCACTTGTTCCTTAAAGTTTCCTTAACTCTTTGAGAAAATTTTGAACATAGTATTGATGCACATGCTAAAACCTTTTGCTGGTAAACTATATATTCAGTTCCACTCAAAATTGGTTTATTGGCCAGTGCACAAATTTCTTTGATGTTATTTGATTTTTTTTGTGATACTGTTGTTAACATACAAAGCACTGAATGAATTACGCCACCATATATTATTGACCTTTGAGACATTTATATACCTCAGCATAATATTAGATTGTCAACCCATGAGAAATTGGAAATGTCACATTATAATTTAGGTTTTTATGGTTATAAGTATTGGTTTCATCTCTTTAGAATTCTTTACCAAAGTATATACGATTATGTGAGACCTAAGATTTTTTTAAAAAAACAGTTGAAGATGTATGTTTCTCAACAGGCGCATACCACTCTCTTTATAGTGATTAATAGTATTTCAATATTTTGTGCTAGTGTTGAGCTTGTAAATTCTGTATTAGGTCTTTTAAGGGAGCTGCTTAGGTTTACGGACTGTTTGAGATCTGGTTGCAAACATAGCATGAGCTTTAAAAGTGTCAACATGCAAAACAAACATGGTGGCTTGATATGATTGTATGATTGTTATCTGAAAAGGTGTGTTAAAAACAGTTTAACACTATACAGTTTTTTTGTGATGGAATCTAGGGTTTTCAGTGACTGCACCTATAATATTCATAGGTTTATACAGGGCATGAAATTAACTTTTTTTTCTGATAGCCACTTGGCTCCTAAATTCTGCAAAGTAGTAGCCAATTCAAAAAAAGTTGGTCGCCATTTTCAAAGAAACAAAATCTTTCTTTACGCTGTCAGCATTCTAGATAGACCCTCCAAAATTAAGTTAGGGAAAAGGACACTAGGATGGATGATATACAATGTTCAGGCTTATCTAAATCCAAGATGGTGTCTAGTTATCGATCGAGATGCATGTGCTATGTTTTGGAAACAAACTTAACGAGGAAGTTTGCCGCAGATTTATCTTTGCAAATTTTTTTAATTCACTATATCTCTTGGTAAGGTTATGATGAAACATTCTAGTTGCCAATTTGGCGACTAACTTTCAGGATTTGGTCACCAAAGTGAAAAATGTAGTTGCATTGGCGCCTGTATTAGGTGCAATTTCACGCCCTGTTATAGGAAAAGATTACCAAAAGGTGGCAGATTCGAAAGTCTACGCATGCTCAGATACCGATCTTGGCAAAGTTCTTTTCCATTACGTCATGTTTTGCAACAAAGAAAATAGGGATCTTTTGAGAAAGATTTATCCTTCAATGAAATTTCCTAAGATTTGCTGAACCATCAAACATATTTGTGCCCTTTCTAGTGCCTGTTGATAAATACAATTCATAGAGGAAGGAAATAGAAAATTGCAAATGGCAAGGAAACTAGCTTGGTAAATCTTATTTTTCTTGGCTTTTAAATGATCAGCTGGACAATTTTCACAAATTGAAAACTTTTAGAGATTTCACCAATGCAAATTGAAGAAAATCAAAGGCAGAACCAAATTATCACTGGCGAGCACCTCCCTTTGTGTAGCCTTAGCTTAATAAAAAAAATCATTTTGATAATATTGACTACAGCAAACAATAGTCTGAACCTTGCTCATTGCCTTTTGATGGCTTTTAGTGATCTTGAGAAGCAAAAAAATAAAAATTTTCTAGAAAAACATTTCACTGGTGCACATGCCAACATTGAGCAAAATCCCTATGGAGGAGAGTTTAACAGTCAATAACTTCTTGAGTTCATGATCATTTCCCTCATTTTCATGACCTTAATGGTTAATTTAGGTCTGATATTGTAAGGAGAAATTAGATGCTTATCACTCTCAGGAATTATAGGTTAAGGATGGCAGACCTATCTGTCTAACAGCTCTTCATGACAGCTCTGGTCATGTTTGTCTGATTGCATTTTTGGATGTTTTTTTTTTCTTGGTTTCATTATTTGCTGAGTATATGTTTGTAGAAATCATCATTATTTATAGATTGTAGACTATTCATGTTTTGAATTTGACTCGTATATTGAGTATTGAATTTGGTTGTGTGTGTGTGTGTTACAGGCAGAGGCACGTCTTGCAGCAAAAAGAGCAGCCAGAGCAGAGGCAAGGAGTATTCGTCTGAAGGAGCTTGAGCTTGAAAGGCAACAAGAAGAAGGAGGAAATGTTAGTCTTGATTGAAATTTACTTATTATTTAAGTACTTTGCAACTAAACATAATAAAACTCTAACCAAAGGTGATAAATTTCAATTAGCATAAAGATTGCTGGAGGTAGATGAAAACCCAACAAAAACACATTCAGTTGACTTGAAGTTGTAGACATGTAGCTATGGGAATGATAGGAAATTAGATAAAAGATTCCCTCTGTTTCTAAATTTACAGGTTGATGATGATGAACAGGCTTTAAATGAGGAGCCACCCATCCCACCTGCAAGAAAGAAGGTACACTGTAGATACACTATTTGTGAGAAAGTGAAGGTTATCAGCCGTAGTAACAAGTAGAACAACATCAGTGCTCCAAAGGGCAGCCAAGTTATTTTTCTTTTTACAAAAGTGAATCTTCCCAAGAGTTGCTGATACAAATTCACAGCCATTCTTTACTTTAACCTTATCTATGAAATTTTCAAATGGCAGTTTGTCAGCCAACATAACTTCAGAAGACCTCCAGGACTCTTGACAAGTCTTTTCTCATAAATTAAAACTGGCTTTGCCACATGTTCATGCATACGTGGATGTTGGTGAAAGACCACACATACCTCTTATTTTATAAGCTAAGCAGCATAGTTACCTTGTCTGACAATGTCCTTAAAACCTAATTGCAAATTGGCAACAAGGTTTCCAAATCAAATTTTTTTAATGAATCACAGGAGGAGGAAGATTTATGAAGAAGCAAATTGAACATGTTGTAAGCTAGATCTCTGTGATACAATGTAACTGGATTGTTGAAAAAAGTATAATTCACCCTTTTGTTGTCACTATACTATTGTGCTTTACTTAGTCATAGTTTTTAGCTTTAATTTCCTCAATTGTTTCCATCTTTGCAAAAGAATCCAGTGGCAAGATCAATTTCTACAGGATCTTCAAGCCTTAGTACTGTTCAAAGAGACCAGAGTATAGACATGAATGGGCCATTGGTGCCAGAGAAGGTTTTAAAAAGTCTTCAGGTTTGTGATCATAGTTTTTTTTCTTTTTTTTAATAGAAGAGTGGACATCAGAGCTGATGATGTCGAGTTGATGTTTTATAGATCAGAATTTCCAATTTCAGTAACTACAATGTAGCTTTCCCTTTTCATCACCTCTAAAAACTTTTTGGTAAACACCATGAAAACATTTGACCTTCTGGTAAGTTATCTCAACAATGAACATGAGAGCAGGCCTTGTATTTTTTGAAACACACATGTTTTTATTTAAATGATTCTGCTTTGATAAAGGGCTAACTCTTGAAATCTCCCCTTTGGAACTCTTTATGGTGGCCAATTTAGGTTATCAACCCAGTTGACAATACTGAATTACCTTGTTTTATTTAACCCAAGATAACCAGATTTTGGAAATTAAGGGCTCAAAAGTCACAATTAGTTGTAACAAGGGGAATGTATTTCATCACTTCATTTGTTGTGTTGATATTCAGGAAAACCTGAAAGAAATTGAAGATAAGTACAGAAAGGCAATGGTTTCCAATGCTCAGCTGGACAATGAGAAGCAAGCACTACTGTATCAAGTGGACTGTCTGAAAGACAGGTACTTATGTATGGTAGAGATTGTTGTGCATGTCCAGGAATAAAGTCAGTGATTGTGTAAACAGGATCAAAAAAGTTCTTTTTTGATCTACTTAACAATGGTTTTATTTGATATCACATTTTAGACTTGTTGAAGAGGAAGAGATTTCAGGTGAAGTAAAAGCTGAATTCAAAGAAAAAGCAAAGGTAATTGCAGAGACAAATTAAAAGGCAATTTAGACTTTTAGAGGTCGTTTTCACCAAGTATATATTCAGTAAAAGTTTGCGGAAAAAGGCTCATATGCAGGGTTCAATATTGTGACCAGCTGTTCATCAATGCAACTTAGAATTTGATGTTGGCAATCAGCATTTGATTTCTGGTTGTCAGCAGGCAACCAACTCGATGTCTTTCAGTGTTCTCTATGTAAATTAGCTCTTTAGAAGGAAACTCTTCAGGTGCTTATACACCCAGCTGGTGTTTGTTGAAGAGCAAGAATGCTCTACATAAAGAAATGTATCTAAAAGTTGAAGTTTTTGTACTTCCCTGTGAGCTAAAAGATTTCACAATCAAATTTGTTCCATCTGGCAACTGAACCAAAATGTTTTGATAGCCCTTTGGCCTCCTGCTAAAAAAGTTAACTTTGTTCTTTGGTTTGATGTTGGCGTTATATTTCTTCTTATCAAACTTTTTAAATTATTCTTTTTTCAGGTAAAGCTATCTGATGGTTATGAATTCTCTGTTTCCTTTTCAGGAATGCAGTAGATTTGAAAAGACCATAAAAAGCAAGGAAGAAGAAATTCAACAACTCAAGGAAGCCATTGAGTTTAGAGATAATTTCTTGGCGGTAAGAAGTCTGTAATACATGTATAAGATTGTTTATAAGATTTTAAGACAGTGTGCTTTCTCTCACGACAAAACATGGCTTTAGCAGAAAAAAAACTAGGATTTGAAACAAATTTTGTTTCTGCAAAAACATATGAACTGTGTTGCATTGTCAACTTCTCCATGAACTAAGAAATATCCCAGATAGATGTTAAATTGGATGTTATTTAGTTGCCTAAAGTTTGCTGTTCTCTCTGTTTTAATTATAATTTTCCTAGTAGGCATTACCTTAATCCATTTGACACCTTAAAAGCCGATAATTAGCCAAATGATACCCTTTTTTAAAAAAATTATTTATATTACACTTGCATTCCAATTTCAAATTATTTTCTCTTGCACCCTTTGCCACAATGCTGTGGCACATGTGCTTGAATCTTTGTAGGGTAAACTAATGATTTGTTGTTGTCCTTTCAGGAGCGAGGTCTTTCCTTGTACGAAGATCAGGTTCTGAAGGATGGTGAGGATGATGAAACTAGCACAGTTAGTTTAAGGGATGCTCTCAGTTTGGCCGTGCCTGATGAAACATCTTCAGGTATGAATTGTTAGACTAGTGCTAGACCTTAAGATAGTGTTGAGTGGTTCCTGCATGACTTTGTCAGACAGACTTTTGCCTCCATCCTTCTCAGTTTTTCTTGTTTTTAAAGAAAAATTAGGTGTTCCCCTGTTTAGAAAGTTAATTGAAAAATGTTGCACAGTACTGCACAAGACCAATTTATGTATGAATGCGGTGAGATCATTGCTGCTGAGTTATACAATGATGAAATCTCACGAAACAGAGTTTCTGAATACATACATGTAATTCAAACATTTATAAGAACTAAGGATTCACTTGCTGTCGTTGTTTTTATTTTTCTATCATTTATTCAGATCGAAGCAGTGTATCTGAACCACTAAAGAGTCGTTCAAACAGTCGGCGGCCATCTTTGTCAGATGAAAAGGATGTTTTAGTTTTACAGGTGCTGAAAGGTTTTTTT